CAGCCAATTTCGAGAAAGATGCATCTTAGCTCAGAAAATTGTTATTGAATATGTCAATGCTGTTGTAATGAAATGCTACTTCTAATTATGTGGTTATTAAATAATGAACTGGAAAAAAAGAGAAAAAACTGAAAAAAAAACATTGTATAACATATAACAGACTTGCTGTAGTTCCAATAATAAAAAAATTAGGTAAAAAAAAAGATAGATAACAACAGTGCTCAGCAGGTGGCAGTACAGAGTAGCTCACATACACAGACATAGGTAAGTATGAAAATGAACCACATCTGAAAGGAAGAAAAAATTAATGACGTCTTGAAGAAGTAATGTGTTCTGAACCAGTCCTAAAATGTTAGGCCAGTGGTACGGTTTTGATGTAACATGTTCCCAAAGGCCATGTGCTTAACGTTTGGTCACCAACTTTAGGTGCTATTGAGAGGTAACACAACCTTCAGGAGTGGAGATCTAGTTAGAGGAAGGGGACAGTGGGACACAAGCCTCTTCCTCTCTCTTTGTCTTCTGGCCACCATGAGATAAGCAACCTCTGATACACATTCTTCAACATCACAATCCTAAAAGCACTGAAGCCACAAAACCATGGACTGAAATATTTGAAACTGTGAACTAAGGTAAAATTTCCCTCTTCTAAAATTATTTCTTTCACATATTTTGCCAAAATGATGGAAAGCTGAGTAACACTTCCAGGTTCTGAAGCCTCACCTTTTGGTCAGGACTATGAGATCAATGCAAATGGCCATCTTCATGCAACTGCAGCTGATAGAAAGCGTGCCTGCCTGGGCTTGGGGTCTGAGTGGACAACAGCTCCATAACTGACATTGTGCATGGCAATCCCAAAAGTCTTTTAATAGAAGGATTGAGAACCTGGTACTAGACAAGTTACATTCTTAGCTTTATTAAGAAATATGATAGAAAGTTATATCTGAGGCATTAAATGACTACCTTATTTCAGAAAATGACAGTTCTAGATTATTTAAGACGATAACTAAAAGGCAGGGTCAAAGTTCAAGGGCCATGGTGGTGCACACCTTTAATCCCAGCACTTGGGAGGCAGAGGCAGGCAGATCTTTATGAGTTCAAGGCCAGCCTGGTCTACATAGTGAGTTCTAGGACAGCTGGGGCTACAGGGAGACC